GATCTTCATCGATATATTTTCATTGTCAATTGCCTTTCAAGGAGGGTTTATTGCCACAGGAAAGTAAAATACATATGTTTGATGCAACTTGTCATCATTTATATACCATTTCCTGATTTTCAAGGTATCGAATATTATATCAAGAAAACTTGTAAGAAATTGAGCTAGGTGCAAGAAAACGAAACTAAATAGTATGTTATTCTCTTCGACATGTTGTTACTGAAACACATCAGAACTCGTACAGTATTCATTATATGAATGTACGGTTTCTCAAATTAACAATTTGATAAACATCAAGTATCATATCAAATTTAAGTTGAGATGTTCTGTTTTTTTCACAATTACCAATTTGGAAATTGAGAATTGTTTCACGAAACGCATTTGTGTCTCCCTGAACAGCAATAAAACGCATTTAAAGCAATAAAGTCATTTCTCCAGCAATATAATGTGAAATCTATAACCATTATCTTCAATGTCCCTGACTACAGACTGACATGTCAGCACTTGACACGTACAATAATGTTTTAGTTTCAGATTCCTATTTTCATGTTCACAGTTTATACTACCATGATTATAGTGTCAGGTATTTCCCAACATACAATCTTTGGATGTCTGTGAATGGAGGTTCAGATATCCTTCTTATCAACTGCTTCATAGTGTTGATCACACAACAAGTCATTTTGGTACTTCGCAGTGTAATTCATTGTTAAATATTTGTATATTCTCTGTTCCTGTCAAGATTCAGCATAAGTTCATGACATTGTGTTTACCCAAGAATTAGTTGTCGGGGATATATTTCTCCATACATTGGGATAATTTTGAAGTCACGTGTAATCTGGAATCTTCTAGCACAGACTAGTCCAGTATAGGATACGGGCTACCAAGTTGACACGCGCCTGTCACATTATATAAAGACTAGCCATTGTGGGAAGATCATTACTTTCAGCCAAGGTATATTTTGGAAGCTTGACCACTGCTGCTGCAAGGCGGTTATTATTATCACTGACTAATAATACAGTTTACCACTCAAATCTACAGACTTTTATTTGCAATACTTTGTGAACGCATTTAATTATATGATGCATTGTTTGTTTGTTTCACACTGAACTGAAAGTGAGTGAGTTTAGTTTTACGCCGCACTCAGCAATAATCCAGCTATATAGCAGCCGTCAGTAATTAATCGAATCTGGACCAGACAATCCAGTGACCATCAGCATGCGCATCCATCTGCTCAAATGGGATACGATGACACGTGTCAACCAAGTCAGCGACCCAGACCACACGATCCCGTTAGTCGCCTCTTACGACAAGCATGGGTTACTGAAGATCAAATTTAACCCGGATCTTCGCGGGTCTCACTGAACTGGAAATGTCTGGGTAATTGTTTCAATACTTAAATCAACGCGTAACAACTTACAGATCGTAAATGAACTAGTTTCCTCAGGACACAAGATATATTAATCAAACTAGTTCTGAAAGGGAATGATTTAATTTTCATACATGTCACAATTTATGTGAATTATCAAAACTTTGAATGTGTCCAGTTTAGTTCTGTTCTGAACCAAGTAGGATTTCAACTTTAGCATTTAAGCTTCTTGAAACACGACTCACTCAAGGCAGAATAGAGAGAAACCCATAGCGTGAAAATAACCGCGCCTTACATAGGAACGTGATACTACATAGAAGGAACTAGATCACAACATGGCACATTTTAAATCACAGTGGTATAACTGTGTTAATCCTTTGGAGATATGGACGCTTATTAAAGGTTGTTTACAAATCCCTTGATCCCTTTGGGTTTGGAAGGACCATTGCTCCCTTGATCGCAGAGGCGTCGGGAAACACAGGTCGCGTCAGACCTAAACAGTTCTGGCTGTTTAGTAGCTGTAGGGGATATTTCTGAAGTTATTACGTGCTTCAATTACTTGTATGTGAGAATAAGGTTCCTTTGAGAAAACTAGACTAAGTTGTGTTTCATGAGGCACGAGAGTGATTGTGATTACCTTCCACAAGGAATGATCATCTAAGTGTTATTCGCCGTATGTTGGCGAATTACTGAATGTTCATACATTATGTGTGACCATGGTTGTCTGATTGAAAGGAAAGAAATAAGAGTTTTCCTAATTCTTCAAAACACAAAACACTATATGTAAGTAAACTTTGAACAAGGACAAATATAAATAAAGTATCTATAAGATTATACTAGTTTATATGGATAAATGAATGGTTTAAATATGCGTCATGAAGGAACTCTGCCTTACTCCATTACAATTACTTAATATCCACTCTCTCCATGAGATTAGTGATTGGATACAATTGTCGTCACAACAGTATATAACAGAGAAAGCACGGACATCTATTAACAAGGGATATGAACAAAGCAAACCGATGGATGATAGCTCCAGCACCAATCTCGGGACACGACCAGTACGGTTAACGTGAAAGTAGCAATGCAAAATGGCCCGACCTATAGAGCCTCCTTGACATATCCCTTGAATAAACACAGGAGATTTCACCTTGATATTCCTACACGAAATTGAGCGCTTTGACGTAACGTGACAACGGTTCGTAGATATAACGATTTAAAGTTTCTTTGCAGAAGTATTGATGTGTTGCGTTAGGCAACAAACAAACACTAACTTTTTTCTGCATATTGTATGATTGGTCGGTGATACAGGTAGCATGGTTATCCTTCCGCGAATTGTTGGTATTTCAATTATCCATTCATAATGGTCAACATTAGTTTACGCCCATTGGAATCTGTTTCTCAGTTGATCGAGAGTGCTTTTGCTCCATCAATGAAGTTTTATATTAAGTAAATTATAGACGTCATGTCATTAGAGAAAATCCAGTCTGTTTCAAAAGTTAGATGCCGTCTAATCTTGCAACATGTTTACATCAGCCAATCAGTGTTGCATCATATGCAGTCAGACTCTGGGCCCAAGTGAAACTCGATACTCGGCAGATAGCGACTGAACAATGTCATTGTTGCCATCACGAACATGCTGGAACTTAGGCTTTGGTACAGCACACGTCCCGGGAAGGAGGATCTGGAAATACCGCCATAAGCCAGCACTCAGACTAATGTATGGCTCTCGTATGTGAGCTCGGCCCCAGAACAGCTGATTACATGATTGAAATAATGTAATGAAATATAGCGGGATTACATTAGTCTACTTTGGATTAGCCTTCATGCACATAGGCCAGCGTGGAACGGATCAATAGCATTTGCCATGTCTTGAAATGTCCAGGTAGTCATTTATGCAAACAATTTCGATCAAGTATATTTGACTTAAATGTGCAGTTTCATAACGTTAATGTATCATTAACTAATGTAACGCAAGCGGCAAATAATAACAATAAACATAACAATACGTATTTCTAGGATAATATCCACGTGAATATATATTATTTAGACGCACTTAGAACTCATTAATCGATTATTGCACTTTCGATAACTTAATACAATGTTGATTTTTAATTGTTTGTTTAATTCAACATAAACTTTCGATAAATTGTGTTTGCTCTGTTTCTCTCACTTGCCTGAGGTAATGACGTCTGTACAGAGACCAGACCATATAACTCCGCTCTCGTATTATATCGATGGATTACAAGATTGACAAAGAAGAAACTAATATTGAGCGAAGTAAGGGCAAAGGTTCAATGGGAATAGTTGTAATCACTGAGCAATCGACCAAATCACAAGAACGTGATTTGCACGCTCTTAGGTTCAAAGAATATTGACCACAATGTGAACAAAGGCATATTTGATCAGTTCCAGGAACAATCAGTCCTCCACACTGAACACATTTACCCAATGATGCCGTGAGTTATCATATAGTACGTGGTCCAAGAAATATGAACATATTTCCACTTCAGTATAGATGATACCTAAATTTGATTTAGGTAATTGCACAAAGATGTTCCGCACATATATATGTATATAATGCCGTGTCAACATCAGGAGAAATTTGTCATCACATGTACATCAGTAATTTAGAATTCATTTGGAAGGTTTCAAACAATCACGTTGCCTTTACTTATTGCTGAGCTGCACCTCTGGAAATGCATTCGTGTCAGTTAATGAATTGATGCCTATATTTGATGATGGTATAACACGAAACGTCAGAGTGGGAACATACCGATTTTTTAAAAATAGCTTCCATTCAGGTTCTCTTTTAAATGCATAATGAATGTATACAGATCTTATCACGTTATTTTCGTGCCTTTATACGGAACAATGAGGGGTGGTGGGGTAGCCAAATGGTTAAGGCGTTAGCTCGTCACGCCGAAGGCACGGGTTTGATTTCCCACATGGGTACAATGTGTGAAGCCCATTTCTGGTGTCCCCCGACGTGATGTTTCGGGAATATTGCTAAAAGCGGCGTAAAACTAAACTCACTCACTCACTCATTCAGAACAATGGAATTTCGAGAGAAATAAAACAGTAAAATATGTGTTGAAATGAAAACAGCAACGCACACGCGCGTTATTGGGTAAGTGATACCTTCGGTATAATCCGGTATCCGGTATAGCAGTATCCTGCATCAAACAACGGCTGTTTAGTACGCTCTATTTGTGATTTCATATGCCAGGTTAAATACTGTTGATGGTAAATGTATCTTTATTGCTATTATTTTCATGAGATGCAGCTGTAATTAATAATGGAATTCATCCTACTCGAGTAACACCTGTGGGAACCCTCGGCAATATAAACATCGGCCTACCAATACATCACACATGTCTGCCAGGTAGAGGGAGATAGATACACACACTTCATCACTCTACTGCCTGACAGACATACACGACAGACAAAGCTTGTTCATTTCACCTGAAACATACAACAAAATCGCGACGTTTGCGACGCGCGCCCCTAGGCTAAACCCATGACTTAAAATCGATACATTGAGATCTTTTCTCGTTAATACGACACCATAAATGTAAAATATACTTTAAAAAATAACGAAAACTTGAAATAGAATACTGATCATGCTTCTCACCTGGTGTGAAAGTTAGAAATCCATCACCTGAAGTCTATGTCAGAGTCTGTCGCAGTGAAATGGACATGCCCTGTCACATGGAACCATGGTCAGGGTTGCTGCTATCGACAACTAACGATGCCCGCGCATGCTCAATAGGCAAAGGTTGCTCCCCGGTTGAGCAGTTTCATTCAGCCGTGCACACTCAGATGAATAATTGACGCTCGCAGACAGCTCACCTGTACTGGGAGGAGTACAGTTCGGTTGCACATTGCACTACAATGGAAACTTCCTCGTAGACGCAGCACGTGACGTGAAGCAGCGATGTGATTGGTCCTTTCTATTGATTCCATAGAGTTTGGCGTATGCTAAGGTGTCTGACTGACACTGGTACGTCTTTGTATTAAACCGCCGTGTTCAGACAAAGAGAATTGGATTTTAATTATATTGCTTGGGCAGTTTATAATTAGACTGAGTTAGTTTATTCACGCCCTAGATTCATTGTTTGTAAAGTTTGAACTTATCAATGTGTGATCAGTATTTCATGAAATATAGAATGGTGGTGACGCACGGTGTCACAGTCACGTTGTGACTCAGTGCACTGTTTTACCCACATTAGCAACATCGTCGACGGTTATACAAACATCTTTTTATCATGGTCGTAGTTTTCGGTTTGTAGATGGAAACAAGATTAACCATAGCTATATCCCTACAAGGACTTTTTATCTACTTTCATTGTATTTATATAGGATTTCCAAAATCCCAAAAGGAATCCATCAACATACTGAAGACTGAGCAGGTGATAATTTCTGGCAGTTATGTCGCTTTACATGCAAGAATTGTTAACACACCAACAGTTTCCAGTGGTATCGCTCACATTGAAACAACGTTTAGGAGCTGTTCTGTCGTTCTGGATACAAAACATTATGCTTTTCCATTTATAGAATTTTTTTCTCAAAGGTCTCAACTCTTCAACCCCTCCAACACACTCCACTCACTACCAACTTCCATTCTCTGGTATGTAACACCCGCATTGAATATATGATGGCAATAGAACTATAGTGAACAGAACAAAGAAATACATTTAGCCGCTAAGCAAATATTTGGATATTCACGTGTGACAAAGATATGGGGATGCTGAGGATTGAAGCAGGTGAAATTGATCACTATGTCGCTGTGGCTCTGTGTACGACATGAACTGCTGTGCTTAATCATTCACTCGTTGGTGATCAAATATTTAGTGTCTTTTGAAAATGAAATGCATAAGTATATATATGTTCAAAGTTTTAAAACATTGTTTCAATTGATATCGAAAAAACATTCGTCCTTATATATTAAGCATTAAGTGTCGACCATCTGCTGATTCTATTGGACGTAAGAGGCAATGTAGTAACGAACAATTCACAAACTTAATCACTGAAGTTTAACAGTGAGACCGAGATTTGAATTTGATAAAGACTGATGACTGCGTATGGCAATGTCCGTTGAGTCTGAATGTGTGTTCAAGACAATGGGCCATACTATCGTTAGCACATAATATATGAAGATAGTCAGACAAGTTAAGTGTATTGATTCAAATAAGTCTAATAAGTAAAAGTTGACAGCCCGTTTGTCGTACAAAAAACATCCCTTCTAATTGAAATTCTACCACTGTGAACAATTCCACCAGCTTGTCTTCTATCTTTACTCAAGGCTTCGGCTCAACCAATGAGAATTGGCGTGCCGGAACTGGGATACCGTCTAATATCAGTGTCACAGACCTATATTCCGAAAGTGGAGCAAGTTGGTAAGCGTATTATTCCGATCTATCTCAGTCTCATTCACGATCGCGGCCATTCCAGGGCGGCTTACAGGTAGGCATTACAGCTACCTAAGCTCCGATCGATATCTGTGCCAACGAGTGCGGATTCCTTAGCATATAGCGTTAACCAGTCCTGCAGTTGGCATCCCTCGGCTACAATACAACCTAATATTATATCACAATCGGTATCTATTATATAGAGAAAGTTAGTTTGGCAATCGTATTAACAGACTGAAGAACAATGCAATCACGATCCGTAACGAGATGATTATAACGATGAAGCTTTTATCAATATTACATGACGTCCAATGGGAAATTGCTGCTGGTTGGGCTTGGTCCGGCATTGCGGCACAATGGAGAAAGTCGATCAGGCTGCCTGGTGGAACAAAGCCACAAGATCAATGCACGTGCATTGTCGTCAATGAGCAAGAGGTCGACTGCAGGCTAGACTGTCTGGGGCATCATACTGTAACGGTATATTTTGCAATAGTTTTACATGGAACTGGAAACTTCAGTGTTGCAGACTGACTGTTTCAAATACATTCATTTTGACAATAAATACAGTTTGGAATATTATATAATTACTTAATGCCAGTAAGATGGGAGAGGTTACATTACATATTTATCGCAACATGTTCTCCCATGTTGATACAGTGAGTAGTCAGACTGACGTGTTATGTAAGAAGCGGCCTTTATCAAGGACTCTTATCAAATACGACAATGAACATTGTTTGCTGAGATAATTTTTATACCATATTTTAATTTTCAATTTGCTATTGAAGTGATAATCAAATGTAGGTTCCATTTGGTTTATGTTAATATACAACGTCAACGCCACATGACACTTGGTCTCGATGATCTGCCAACACAGATTCAGATGGGGCATTAGCAGTGAAACGTTTATGAATGCATCCCTGTAAATCGGTTATATGTTTCGATTTATTAGCTAAAAGAGTGTGTAAAGGGTTGCTGAAATCAGTAGAAAGTGTTTTTAAGAAGTATGACAAATCATTGGGTCATTGACAAAAGAAAACAGACCCGAAAGCCGAAGCTATTTAAAAGTGATAATGATGGCTCTGAATTGCAGAGAAACATGGATCTAATATAATTCGCCTCAATTAACGATGTAATCTTGCGTCCCTTGGTCCTGTCAGGATCTGCTGTCTTTGATTGTGGCTCCCCAGATATACAAAAGATTATGTTTATTATTTGAGTAGAACTTCAGCATTGTACATGTAGGTGTAGGAAAGTGAAACATACAACCATTGGAGAATTCATGCATTATCTTCTGCAAACAGCGAGATGAGTATGTTGTTGAAATAGACATATCAATGACGACGTATCTTGGATTTTGAAACTATCATTATGACGTAACCAGGTTGTAATTAATTCCTAAACCAGGAAAGCACTGGCAATGTAGAACACAACTTTAAACAAGTAAACACTAACGTAATTATATCTCATTACGATAAAATTGTATAGAAGATATATACTGAATACAACATGGAGACTTACCTCGCAGCTGTTGATCCAGTAGAGCATCTGGGAATCTGTCATGAACCTGTCAAAATTTGTGAAAGTACTACGTTGAATTTCTGTGTTAAATACTCAAGGATTAAAGTTACCTTTTATATAGTAAACATAGAGTTGTGAAGTGTTATGTTATTCAAAAACAAACTAGTATTTGGTTATTCGTCTGTTCTACCTTGAAGCAGGAGACGGAGCGACACGCCCTAAACGAGAAACTAAATTGACAATATCGGGTGTGAGCACCATTTGTCCTGACATAAACGGAGCAGTGACGGCTCATGAAAACACCAGGTGTTTAAGCCAGTTAGTTGTTGTTCCCAGTGTCAACCAAACGAGCTAACGTAACCGGGAGGTTCTTGTCCTGTCGTAGTAGTTGTCGATCCCTCTCAACCTACACGTTCCAATGAGGGAGAGGTCGCTGCAGCTGCACAAGGACATGCTCTCACAGGCTGTAGCACCAGTTGTGTAAGCCATTCAAGTTGCTATGACTATGACGAGTTGTATTCTCTCAAGACATCACTATAGACACGATACTTATTCTGTAGAAATCGGCTACATTTCCATCCCAAGCACCCGTGAAGATCCGGGTTAGAATTGATCTTCAGTAACCCATGCTTGTCGTAAGAGGCGACTAACGGCATCGGCTGGTCAGGCTCGCTGACTTGGTTGACACATGTCATCGGTTCCCAGTTGCGTAGATCGATGCTCATGCTGTGGATCACTGGATTGTCTGGTCCAGACTCGATTATTTACAGACCGCCGCCATATAGCAGGAATATTGCTGAGTGCGGCGTAAAACTAAACTCATTCACTGACTCAATCCCGAGCTGACGACATGAAGTAACGCAAGCGTTTCAAAAGCATTCTCCTTGACACCTTGACACATATAGTCTCCTGCACGTCCATCATCTGTGAATATATTGTACAATGTAAGAATAATTTCCCTGCTGCAGATAACGCCCCTAAAATAATAATATTTTGTTAAGGTAATTAATGAACATTATCTCCATCGATATGTATTTAAATATGCACAATTCAATTTCAAATATTATAAGCATCTGTTTTAACATAGATGCATAGTTACATTATTCAGTAATTATATTCGGATTTTTTTGTGCTGATTATCATTATGATTCAGTAGATAATGTTTTGTAATATATTTGATTTTATGTACAACCGTTAATCTTGGTCTTCATCATATCTGAATCAAAAAGGTAAAGGCCATGTACCGTTATACTGTTGCATCCCAGAGGGTGTATTCACAAAATATGTTACATATACTGAGGGAGATTTATGTAACGTTCTACACCGATGGTGCATAATTCATCATTACATATGTTCATAAAATGTTTGAGATTTCTCGAAAACTCCATGAAGAACAAATTACGAAATGAAAACCAGAATGTCTTAAAATGAAACTATCGTCTTGAAGGTAATATTATCAATAATGTTGTAGGAGAACATGAACACTAGAAATGGAGATACTTTCTTCTAAAATACACTTCATTATTCAATACAAGGTCTCGAAGCTCCCATTATGAAAACCTCCTTTACGACAATGTTGAACGTGAGTGTTTGCGATCAATCAGCCAGACGCTGTATTGAGCATGAATGGAATCACATTTACGAGACAGAATTACGTGGTGGGCTTCATAATCGTTACGACGTCATAAAGAAATCATACAGTATTGATTCGCGATGAAATATTTAATAAAATTGATGGCCCTATTACAAAGGTGGCACAATGTCACGGAGATCAGCGTGACACATCGCGTGTAACGATGACTTACATTTTTCATGTTAACAACTTGATCTGTGTTTTACTAGAGGAAAGGACATGGGTGTTTAGTTTTCTGAAAATGCTTTCACAGCTCATGTATCCCATGACGATTATAGCAGAATCATACTT